GGGGGCGGAGCGGGGCGGGGCCGGATCACTCAGCCAGTCACAATGTATTCGCACAGTCCTCCTCCCTCTCACACCGGGACACACGCACACTCACACACACACACACACACACGTCCTTAAGGACCTCCCTCTGATGTCACTGCCGCGGGTCCTCGCGGGTCTGCCGGGGGGCGAGGCGAGCTCACAATCACACACAGAGCCTGCTTCCTCCCGCCGTGGTGCACAGAGGACGACTGAGCGAGCGCGCTAGCGCCTCCACTACGGCTGCGGTGCGCCTCCTCCTCTCCCCGGGCGCGCCGGGCCGGGCCGTGCCGAGCAGAGCGCCGCCGGACCGAGCCGAGCCGAGCCCCGCGAGAGTGCGGCGCGGCGCCGAGCCGGGAGCGCGGAGAAGGAGCCGCGAGCGAGAAAGAAGTACCCTCCAAGACGGTCGCTCTCACTCGCTCCGTGGAAAGAGTGGGGAGGATAGCATTGCGAGAGTAGCGGAGGGGAAATGAAACAGAAAAATAAGTTTGATGCACAAGATCACGTTATTGAGGTGTGGCCGGTGCCAGCCCGGTGGGGCGGGGGGAGGGGGCGGGAGGGGGGCCGGCGGACCCGACCCCGCTGGTGGGGGGCGAGTGGGAGGGGTAAGCCGCCGCGGGGCGGGGCCTGTGCCGCGCCTCCCGCCATTGGCTGGCGGAGGCCTGCGCAGCCTGCGCACTGCCGCCGCCCGCGCCCGCCCAGCGCAGCGCTCCCGCCGAGCCGCTCTCCCCGCCGCCGCTCTCCCGCCGCTAAGGCCCTCCACCCGCGAAGAGACGCCTCGCCATTCCCTTTAAAGCTGTTCCGGCGTTTCCTTTCGAGAGGGACTTTGGCGCCGTATGTGTGTGCGCGCGCGCGTGTGTGTGTGTGTTACCTCGGCAAAAGGACCCAAATTGCTGCTGGAACTGCCTCAAGTCTGACTTGAGACTACACGCCTACCGTGCCTCGCTTCCTTTCCTACGACCCTCTGCTGCACGCGGTCGGGCGGTCGCATGCGGCGCATTTAAGCCCTTGCCTCTGAGCCCATATGGGTCGCAGTAAGGAGACTGCTTCACTGTTTAAGCAGCCCTACCTTGAGCAGCCTGCCCGTGACACACACATACGCACTCGAATCTTAACTCACGTCTGAAGGACGTAGCGCTGGCGCTGGCCCTAACGTGACAAAACCACTTCCCTCGAATTGGTCAGTCACAATTTGGCCATTGCGACTCCTATTTGATGTCGAAATGACAGCCCTTTAAACATGGATATATTTTGACGAAATCTGTCACAGTTGGCATTAAGACCATGTTCCTCCCTCGTGCGGGCTGACACTCATTCTACACGACACCAAATATCTTCTCCGACGTTTTAGGTATGCAATACTGTGAGGCTAACATTTGACGCCTGTAGTATACGTCGCGGGGCTTTATGCCCAAAGGCAAAAACTTGTGTCAAAAGTTTCTCCAAACAATTCGTATGTTCGGTGTGATCTTCCCAGCCAAAAATGCAAATGCATCGTCTTTTATTTTCGTCGACGTTGGAATCAACGTTGATGTGACCATTCTATAGTCCTAAATTCAGCGTAACTCCAACTTAGACGTCGATTTAACGTTTGAGTAGACTTTCAATTTCTGGCTGGGCTTATTGCCAGCTTTTGCTCGTATGCCGCAAGAAGTAATGCAGTAATAAAGTGTGACATGACCTTTAGAACAGAACAATAATCTAGGTTCGAAAAAACAGAAAGATTCTGGCAGTTTTCCCCTTAAATGCTTAATAGTGTATTTCGACCAACGGAGGAAGAAGAAGAGCGGGTAGAACATAACGGTTCCTTATAGGCCGAGCGCTTACCCCCACTACCGGCGTGACGAAGAGGCGGGAAGCTCTCGACCAATCGGTAACGTTTATGTTCTACCCGCTCTTCTTCTTCCCCCGTTAGTCGAAATACACTATATTGATGGACCGCGGGTGGGAAGTTTGGTTGTGCCCCTGTTCTGTAGATAAACACCATATCAGAAGTCGCCCCTCGCTCGGTGCAGACCGCATCTGGGTCGGACCGCTCGCGGCGCGGCTACCGCGGAGCGCCTGATCGGCGACTCCAGCGCCATCTCTCGGAGAACTGCAGTAGTAGTAGGAGAGGAGAGGAGGCGATAGTAGTAGGGCTGGCCGCTAGAGGGCGACACATACCGTCGCGGTGTGTAGCGCCAACCCGGCTTCGATTCAAACAGTTGTCAACCTTGGACTATCCATCATGCCATCATACAGCACGCGTAGGGTTTCAAAACACGAGAAAGCTGCAATGTGGCAAATATTTTAATAGTTACTTAAGGTACACCAATATCCCAACAAGAAAATGCTAGAGTTCATGATACAAACTTATTCATTTTTCTTCATGGTTTTAGAAGAAAGTATGTATAATTAACAAATTTTAATTTCTAGTTAATGTACCCTGGTTCATAGAAAGTTGAAAAAAAAAAGACACTGAGCTTTAAACAGGACCAAAACCAACTGAGAGTTATTGATCAATCCTATTTAGGACAGAACACTGAACTCCCTTAACAAATTTCAACCAAGGAGCCAATAAAACAAACAATGTAGAAAAATACTTGATGTGAAACTACTTAAATGCGCTAAGATGCTGGACAAGACCTGAGATTGTTGGATAAAACAAAGGGACACATTTGTCATGTGATAAATATAGTAAGTTGCCATCTCAACAACTTGAGTGTCAATTGCTGTTATTGTTGCCTCTCGACTCTAACATTCCCCTCTAAATAATTCATTCCAGCCTTGGTAAAAGCTCTCCAAGTTTGCCAATGTAATAATCAGGCACCAGATTCTTCAGCTCCTCATCTTTTGACTCTTTCCATGAATTTATTTCTTGAAGTGTGGATACACCACTTAGCACCAAAAGGGTCCTGAAGCCACACCGCTTTCCCAGGAGTATGTCAGTGTTACACCTACAAAAAATTTAAGTTAAGAAACCAATTGATTTTCCAAATTATCATTTTCTTTCTTGTTATTTTACCTGTCACCAATCATTATGGTCCTCTTTGGGTCAATTTTGTGAGTCTTAACAAGGAAATCACTTATGTAAGAATGTGGCTTTCCTACAACAAACGCACTTCTTGCTCCACATGTTTCCACAGCTCGCACTATACTTCCAGTACCTGCAAGTACAAAATAGAGATTACCACAGCTATTGCCTATCACAAAATTTACATGGTGGTCCACAGACCACTTCCTTCATTTTTTGTACACTGTACCGCATGCAGGCGTGCGCCGGGCTTGCCTGCACCGTCGCTCACTTTCTGGCGCCGTATAGCCCCGTGCGAGTATGCAACCCACCAACATGCCTGCATCCGGTACAGTATAAGCAAGATAAAGGATGGGGTCTGTGGACTTCCCTGTGCTTCTTTTCCAAAAGGCCAGGAGGGGGAAATATTAATAATAAATATTAAAAAAGACACAGATAAAACAATTTTGTTTTACAAAACATTACATACCAGGTATGATCAGATCAGTGTTCATGGGGAATTGCTCATCAGTGTTGGTTGCAACAAATAAGCAATCTTTACGAGCAAGATAGCTTGCAGCCTTCAACATTTTTGGATAGCTGAAGTGTTCATCAAACCCTACAACAACAGCTTTCACTTCAGGATCCAACTTCTGGCTAATAAGTTGTGTAAGAGCGCCTGGCATAGGATCAGGCTGTAATAAGATAATTTCAGAAATATAAATAGAGGATACTAAACATTAGAGAAAATGCAGACACAAGGTTAAAACTTACTCCAATATCAGTGTGTTTAATCCCCACCATATCCATTTCTTGTGTGATTCCAGTTGAACCAATGACATAGACTTTGTCTTTGAAACCCTGCTCTTGAAGATACTTGGCAGCCAGATATGCAGTGCTCACAACTTCTTCCTATGCAAAGAGAAATGAAAAATGCTTGTCAGCTACATAAGTAGACAGGTATTTTTATCTTTAAGAAGTTACACTGAAACCATAACCACACATCATGCTGTACAATAAACTGCTTTCTGTCAAGTCATGCATATACAAGAAAATAGCTACTTATGAAAAGCCATTTTAGATCAATAAAATGTGGACTGCACAAAAAGACAATGCAAGCATCTATTTAAAAATTAAATTTGAGGAAAGTCTCATCCTCTACTTAAAACCACACTTATACATGAATAACAAAATCACTTTGAAAAAATATACTTTAAACATTTTTTTTTGTAGGTAATCACAAAATTATCACACCAAACAACAGACAACACCTACTTTATTTGAATGAAATCCCATATCTTGAGACTTTTTGTACAATTCTTCCCGAGTTTTGGTGCTGTTGTTGGTCACATAAAATATTTTCTTCCCTATTTCCTTCAGTCTGTTAATAGCCTGCGGTGACCCTGCGATGGTTTCTGACCAGATCCATAACACACCTGCAGGCAAGTTATGGCATATACTCTTAGACACTTGTTTATACATTACCATAGTTATATATGTGTCCTAACACAAATTATAATCAAATGGACTTCATAATAAGTTCTTGCAATATCAAGCCACCAAAGCACCAGTTCTCATTTCTGCTTATGTTTCATGAAGAAATTTCTTAGTAACTATAATTTGGAAAGACATAAGATTGGATTCATGCAACCACTTGAAAGCATAAAAGACTTTCAAACTGTCAAAAATAATTGCCTTTTCCCATATTACTCTCTTTAAATTGTGCAAAATGCAAGCACCATTGAGTTGTCAGAAAGCAAGTAAATCCAAGCCCAAACAAATGACAAGTGACATTCATGACCGATCAAAACCCAACCACTACATAGGCATAGTGACACATACTTTTGAAGCGTTGAAACCCATTGAGACGACTTTAGAAAGAAGCTCCTTCTGTGTCTTGGTGCTGTTATTTGTAACATAAAATATTCTTTTTCCTGATTTCTTGAGAAAATTTATTGCATTTGGGGACCCTTGGATAATAGTATTGCCTAGCCACAAAACACCTGGCCAAAATACAATAATAAAATCATAAAGCGTCATCAGTGGAATTGGTGTAAAAAAGAAAACTCCCAACAATAATCATTAGTTTAAACCACTATAAAGGAATAAGTACAGATTTTGAAGAGGTTTTCAGATGACCAACTTTAAGATAAAACATGTTCAAATGGTATTACCTACCATCACAGTCTGTAAGTACAGTGTCAAAAGAATTCAAGAACTCTTTGAACTCCTCTGATTTCATTTCAGCCAAATTCACAGCAGCCATTATTGCTGATGAATATCTGTAAATCTGGAAATAGAAAAAATAAATATTCAGCAAGGACAACTTAAATAGGCAGTACATTTAAAATTCAGTGCTTTCTGTGATCAATACATGTGTCAGAGCATTAAAAACTGGATAGAAGAAACAAAAAGAGAAGAAACTGCAATCCCTGAGCGTGCAAAACAGTAAGGTGTGTGCTGATTTCTCCATTCCTTCAAATAAGTCAGAGACTCACCAAAAATGGACTTATTGATACGTTCAACTACAAGAAATGAAACTCAACGAAGCTGACAATTTATATGCAAATGACACTTGACATGGAAAGAAAGAAGCCGCAATGAAGCTTTCCTGGATTGCATTTTACAACTTTTTAACTTATTTCTTAATGAATGAATGAGTGCGTTTATGGATTTTCTTCATTTCTTACAATTTTTCTTGAGGCAGACAAAGAATTAATTATTTTTCAAATAGAAGACTAATTTACAAGGGTCTTCGATGTTAACAGTTAAAGGTACTTACATGAGGCAGTGAAAAATCTACAGAATCCCGATACACCCAATGTTTCCTTTCGCAGTCTGTCTAGTCTGCGCAAAAATTTGAGATTTCGACCTTGATGGGGTTAGGTTGTATCGACGTCTGCCCGTCAAGTCAGGACTGTCGGACGGCACCCTCCACACCGACACCGAAGTCGGGTCCACGACTATTCACAGTCAAGTTCCCCCACCACTACTATCGTGCTTTCTTTGCTAGCCATATATCGGTGTATGAAAAATCAGTAGATACGTTTAATTGTGAGCTGCTGTGTTTTGACGCGCAGAGTTTAGGTTTTCGCACCGAAGTTTGTAATTTCCAAATTAAAAGTTGAAAATGGGAGAGTTAAAGCAGTTATTGAGATAATAAATGGAGAGCTGTGATCGTCAAAACTCAGAAGTTGCACTGACAGTCGCATCTTCATTTTTATAGCTGAATTTTCAGATTGTTTATTAACCATTACTTCAGCTTAACCTTGAAAGAATATAAACTCCCATTTCAATCTCCTCAAAGACAATTTTCAACTGCAACATGCTAAAAATATAGGAAACAACAGTGAAGCGGGAGTTTATATTAAAGGGAGTTATACTTTATGTTATCAGTGTCCTCTAAGACACTAAGATATACTCTAATACAATTTTCAATTTCGTGAGGGGAATTGTATGGATACTTAACGTTAAACATAACTTTTCATTCATACAAGAAACTCACATCTTTCAATACACTATACCCTTTGCAGTTTACTTTTTCTGGCATGAAAGAACATCGTTAAAAACATTGTAATGTATAAAAATTACTAATCGGCAAATAAATTTGGTTTCTCTCGCTGAACCAAATATAATGTCAATAAACAGTGAGATTCATTCACTTGGACTTGATTGCTTGCTTTCTAGTGATTTAAAAAGTCTACGGAGCATCCTCTTAGCCATCATTTCGATGACTATGAAATGAGACTGTCAATCCTGTTAATTTTAATGTTGAGAGCATCTGTAAAACAGAATTCTCTGCGCAGAATCCCAGATTAGCAATACAATTAAAGTCTGAAAAAAAAAATCTTTCAAAATGTACAAAAATGCCACAGTTTTATTATAATACCCCTTCAACAAGCTGATACCAAAAGATAGTGGGTGCATTATAAGATGTTGTAATCTATGTCACAAGGGAACCAAAGTATCGTAAAATCAACAATATGTCAAACTGACATGATATTGACAAAATTCTGATAACAAAAGTTACAGCCCCAATGTTGTGACTCGGAAATGATAATGTAGTGCGCCGAATAAAGATGACAGCATTTAGTTTTCATGCAGCATCATGGAAATTGTAACTTTTTTTATCAAAAAGGACATCAGGTAAAATAGATCAAACTAACTTGAGTTTTACACACACTGGGCAAGAGGCTCAAAGTCTTCAAGTGCGATACTTGGTTCAGTAGTAAGTTAGCAAGCTGCTTCGCAGAACTGAATCAAAATGATAATTGTGAAGCATGATAGGGGAATTCCGCAACTTATAGAGTGGCAATAATATTTTTCACAAATTTGGTACTGCCGGCACAATGTCATTTTGACATTTAAAAAAATGTCATGGTTCATTGTTAAATAACGTGTGACTACAATTACATATTCATTTCAAATCTCACTGCTATGGGAGGAGCTTTGGGCTTTAAGTGTGCTGCATCTGCATATATTCCTAGCATTCTTGCCATTCTGAACATTCAAACCAGTTCTTTTAATTGGTACTGTTTTAAAATAAATGATTTACTACCAGGAAATTGCCATAGATTCTGCTGCGCTCATTCACAGATTCCGCTTGCATAGCGCCTTACGGAGGTTGTGGGTAGGCAACCCGCGTAACAACCACCGCCTATTTTTCAGCGCGATTTGCGGTTCAGCATTTAGACTTGAGTAAAAACAGTATAAAATCAAAAATGATCCAATAATGCTCTAGTTTCATTTTGGAAAATTTCATGATGAAATTCTGAAGCGTTCCCGAGTTTCATCAAAATGTCACTTTTGGTCTTTCAAGTCGAGGGAAGGATGTGCACTGGGCATGGGGGCGGCCTGAGTGCGCGTCAGAAAACGGATTTTGAGAACCACTGGACGGAGTTTGAAGATTTAGGGCTCATTCGAATGGACTTTTGATTTCAAAAACTTTTTGTCCTAGATGATATCCTGTAAAGTCCATAGTTTTTGAGTAAATCGCGTTTAAAGACGCGAAAATGACCTATTTGGGACGGCATTTTTTCGGGTTTTCTTCGGGAGTATTCATATATTTTGACCCAAATTTGGCAGAATGTCAATTTATAACAGCCCTCATCGACTGCAATTGTTAAAATATAAAAAATTCGAAAATTGTAAAAAAAGGGAAATATGTTAAAACCTACTAAGTGTTGGACTGAACCGAATGTGAGATTGAACAAACAGTTAAATTTCGTGGGGGGTTCAGTTCGAGTACTTTTTTACGTCGTGTAGTACTTTCGCCGCATTGTAACAAATCATGTTCAAATTATGCCTGGCTTTCTGCTTGCCGCCGTCAGACCTTGGCTTTGAAGCCTTTGAAGATGAATCCAGGGACACAGCCCCTTTTCAGCATTTCTTTTTCGTCTTTGAATAATAGACTATGTGGCAGAAAATGCGAATTTACTGAAATATACTGTTCCCTTGAAATTTCTTTAACTAACTTAATTAAAGTTGACACTAATGGGGTTATGTGCCTCTGCAGAAAGCAAAGTCGTGTTACTGTTTGTCTTTCATTCAGGGAACAAAACCTCGTGGAACCCTTAAAAATGATACTTCAGAGGGGACCGTTATTTATTTTTAGCCGCTGTCACTCTTCAAAGTGAACATTTAACATTCAATATTTGCATTCAATATTTGCAAGGACATTTTATTCATTTCACACCGAAGTCTTGTTGTATCCTACATTGCTATTTTCCATACGTCACACAAACCACGTTGCTTTCTACACCACTTCCCCCACCACCTTTTTGAGTGCGAATAGTCTCGAGACGCGACTTCGGTGTCGGTGTGGTGGGAGCCGCTCAGGACGGACTGCTTCCACTTTAGCCCACTTTGGGTATTCAGTAATGCAAATCGTGCATTTGCAAATGTGATGAGTTTATGAATTAACGAGAATTATTGTTGAAAGATCGTATTATAAATCAGAATAATAGTCTGTACTGCGTAACATCATACGTTCCTCCTTCAAATTCAAGTCTTTTTCTTTTGTTGTGTGTTGGCAGCACTTGTTTTACCTGGATGACAGCATTGCTATTGCAATTGCTATTTCTGTTGGGAGAGGTGAATACGACGTGAGGCTATAAGATTTCCTGCCAGCTGGTGTTTAGTTTCTCATACTTCGATAATCTGTTGTGAGTTGTGAAGGAAAGATTCAGGAGATGATAAATGAAATTTTACCCGGTGACAAAGTGAAAAAATCAGTGGTTTGCAAGTGAGCTGAGAGGCACGGTCATCAATTCACAGAAATTGCGTTCCGTATTTCGCGTAAAGTTTTAAAATTAGACGTAAGAATTCTCTCGAAGTATGTAAAGTTTCCTGTCATTGTGAAGTGCCAATCACTGATAAAGCCGTTCGAAAATGACTTGTCACAGTGGCTCTGTTTACACATCTCTTTGTTTGTTCGCACTCGCATTTCTAGTCCAATGCAACGCAGAAGGTACGTTTTTCAGAGGGTCAGAGGAGAGTGGGACGTAAAACGAGCACACAGCTCGATTTTTGGCCACACTTTCTTCTGTCAGTGTTTCCTAGTTTAGGTTAGACATGTGAAATTCTACTTTGAACGTAGACTTAACTTATCATGCAAACTTAACTGATTTTGTATTCTTGATTTCTATTAGGGTAGATTTTCTATCCAGTCGTAATTACAGACTAAGTTTTCATATTTTGCTTAATGGCAAATTTATCACCTATTTTTCTTCAAAATTTCACAAGTTTGATGTCTTTTTAAAGAAAGAATGTTTTACAGTTACAGAAAGGAAATGCTTTTCTACGGAACTGGAACAATGTTGGACTGGAGAAACCTGTGAAATTCACCATTACCATGCTGGACAAGGTGGTTTACCGGATGGTATTTGTGTGTGCCTCGGAGACCACAAAAGAAACGAAGAGGGCTACTGCATCCCTGTGAAACCACATCCTAGGCTGCCTACGCCAGCAAAAGTCAACTCTGATACTAAGTCCTCATGTAAGTGTTTGAAACTCAACCTTTCTTTTTGGTATCTATATTATTTTAAATTCATTGGTGACTATAAAGTACATCATGATGCAAATTTTGTACATTTTTATTGCAGCGGCATCCATAGCTGCTGGGGTCCTTGTTCCACTGTTCTTCATTGGCTTTGCTGCCCTCTTCATTCTTGGCCGTCGCTATGCTTGGTGGCAGCGACTTAGACAGCCTCGTATTAGGCACTATGATACAGCACTAGTTGGGGGTGATCTTGATGATGATCCTCCAATTGCGTAAAGGTGATTTTAGTGTGTATCCTTGTGTTGTTATTCAATTTTATTTTTTGTACATTGGAGTCAAACAATCTATTAAGTGATATGGTATTGAGTTCACATGCCTGTTTCAAAGGTAAGCTAGTCCAGTTTTTTTGTTGCTGCTATTGTAACCTGGGCATTTTAGTCATTTCACTAAACAACATTTGTCTGTAGACAGAAGAAAAGGCTATATAACTGATATTGTATGGATCAAAAGTACCAAATTAAGGTAAAGATAATTTTAAGAAATGGTGTAAATTTTTAATATTACTCATAGTTTTGTGGAGGTACTGACTAAAGCATGGTGTGATATTCGTTTTGGAGAGATATATATATCTTTCTCAGATCTGAAGTTCAAGTCATGTAACTCATTGAGTTGAATTGGGCTTCCTTTTTTTTATTCATCCCAAGCCCAAGATAGAGAAAAAGAGAGAATTTTCCTGTTTTGTCTGTCCCTGTATAGCTGGCTGGGTATTAACTAAGTGTATGTGCTTTATTGAAGAGAAATACCATCTTTTAATTACATAAATGTTTAATATTTTATCTAAAATGAGTAAAATTTCTAAATTCTCATTGATTAGTAAAGAATGATTTGTATATCAGATTATAACTACTGTTCTCTTATAGATTGATTGTACATATGGAGTATTTATAGATAGATGAATCCTTACTAGTCAAATAGTATTTGCACAATATGCTTTTACATGTCGGAAATATTATATTGTACATATGGGTCTGTGGCATTCTTTGTTTTTATTTGTCATTGTGATATACTGGCAGATGCAAGCGTAATTCCTTTACATATGTTTTCACTAAAATCAATGTAATTGTTGCATTGACGTTTTAACTCCCCACAGATTATTTTAATATTGTTAGGTTGTGTTAAATGCTGTGTTGATGTTTCCTTCTAATACATGTTTCCTACAATTTTCTAGAATATTTCTATTTTTTTTTCTTAGGTATGTAGTGTGAACTGAGTTCCAGTACATTTTTGGTTGTAATTGACAGAATAATTGAAGTGAGTAAGCAGCAAATGTCTTTGATCATATTGGTTTAGGGCTGTGTTATCATGTCATTCCACTGTTATGAGTCGCATCCTTCTTTTATTATTCAAATTTTGTACAGGAAGTTTTCAATTTTAAATTTCAAGGAGCACATTGCTTTCCATTCGATGTCATACCTTTGTTTTATTTAGATGTACATGCTTTGGCATTTCGCACAAATTGATACAATGAAAGATTTGAGAACTGTCAATAGACTGAATAATTCATTATGTAAACTTATTTTTTACTGATATGTATATGCTAGGTAAAGCTTATCATTCATTCATTGATCTCAAAAATGCAGCTATAAATGAATGTAGCATTATGCTAGCAATGGGTCTCTTTCGACTTTGAAAACTTTCAATGGTCTGCAATAAACATGAAAAACTGACTTTTAGCAATTTTTAGTTTTTTGACTGTCAAAGTGAGTCTTTCTTTGCATAAATTTTGACTGGCCAGTCTGCTAAGTTTAAATTGAGGCATGAAGAGGTTCACTTTGACTAACTTTGACTGTCAAAAACTGGAAATGGCTCTAATGAGTTCTCAGTGAGTTTTTCTGTGTTTACCGGGTTGTTTCAGTTCAGCATAAAAGATCTTTGCCAAGAGCAACCCTAATTCGACCTAGGATGGCCTAACAAGATGAAAATGAATTGAATCGAAAGCCAATTAGGTTTTGTAACTCTCCTGAATAATAATTCTATGATAAGAAAGAAAAGCTGTGTTTTTGCTAGGAACTCTCACTCTGCTTCTTCTGTCAACATCTAGAAATATTTTGCAATTTCCAGTAACTTAAAGCTTAGTTTTATGTTGTCAGTGCTCTCAGTGCAACAAGCGCAATGTTGTTGCGGTGTTGCCTTTGAGTATTAAGGTAACATGAATTAAATTCTTCATGTTGGTTCTTGTTGCAGGTTTTTACTGTCATTGATCTTTTGTTTCCTGGTGTGTTTTTCCAAGTTTTTAAAATTTTATGTAAAAGAAGTCTTTTCCATCATCAGACTATGAACTTTGCATGAACACATTATTACCTAGCTGTTCCCAAGCATGGCAGAAATTTTATCAAGTCAAAAAATATTTGTTATTTCATTTTTGTCATATTCTTTGCCTCAAGTAACTGTAATGATTAAATTACAATTTTGTAAATCTAAAATAGACAAATTTGAACACAACTAAAGTTTGTTTTATTTGTTCTACTCAATCCTTCTATTTTGGCAAAGCAGGGCTATGTGGGGACTATGATCAAGCTTCCTAACACTCAGGTAAAAAAAAGTTGTCTTCTTTGGATTTTTTTTCACGTCCCCCCCCCCCCCCCGTAAGATGCCGAGTGCCAGGTGGGCACTTGAGAAAGAAGGCAGACCTCTGATAGTGGGTGGAGATGTACCACCTCACCCTGCGCAAGCGAAACTTGAACATCCGGTGTGCTGAGGGTGCCAAGGTTAAACTTTAGTACAGTAGGTTACAAGGATTAGGTGTACATGGCGCCTGGCGTTCGACAGCAGTGGGGAATTCCTCGTAGGCACACGCAGTTCACAGCGCGCACAGGAAATTTGTACGGTATTATGAGTCGAAGTTAGCTGCAGGGGTGCCCCCCCCCCCCTTCCCTCTGGGATTTTTCATTCGCATGTAAAGGAAAAGCGCTGGAAGTTCCTGGGTACACTGGCTCAGATTTTTTACGGCATAGCGACGGCACCGACCACCGACACCCCCCTCTACTGTGGTTAATCTGATGGCGGGTCCAGATATAAACCTTTGGTCGTCCCGGCCACCTGTTCCTGGCACGGATCGTCACGCCGCCGCTGTCACGCATGCAGCAGGCTTAGTCAGGGCATCAGTGGCGCATCTGCCTTCAGCTGGTCAGCATCATTTTGGTTTATGGTTGTCTGGGCTAGAGCAGGGTGACGTTGCGATGACACGCCAAGGCTCTGCTCCGCCCTCGTGAGGCATTTGTGCTGCCCGTGCCGTAGCTGTTTGCACTTAACTATCAGGGTGCAGGGTGGGGCGACCACACAAGACGAGGACGAGATCACGAGACGAGATCAGCGTCTTGGCCGCATCAAATTTCGCGGGCGGTAACTTGCCACATGTCCGGTAGGAGCGTAGCGGTCGAAGCCAAATTTGCAATGGCGCTGTCTTAAGTGTTTGTCTGCTATTTAAGAAGTAATTCGTAAAGGCCTAAGTTTACATTGTTTGACAGCAGGTGAGAAAGTTAACGTTAACATTGTTTTAACTTTTGTTGTTCGGGTGGTTAGAAACGATCAGCGCGATGGTTCAAATAGATAATTAAAAGTAATTCATTCGTTGGATCAATTACCTGGAGCTAGGTTACAGACAACCTGAGTAAAACTGATTTGTCTCAGTTTGTGTGCTTTTCCTACGACTTTCAAAGTATTTAAAAGTACTTATCATCTCTTTGTTGAATTCTTTTTCTCAGTTAACCTCTCTGAATCGCTGCTTGTCTTCATTTTGACAGAATCATCAACTGTCAATTTTATGACCATTTTATGTAACTCTTGACAAAACATTAGTTTTTACATAATAATTTTTATTTTGAAAGTAACTTATAAACTGTCACTTCTTTTTTATTGCAGATTTGCTTAGAAGTTAAAATGGGTGCCTTCTCCGAAATCTTTGAACATCTACGTGACCCTGCGCTTGTTGCTCAAGTCCAGTCTTACTTCGGAGTGGAGAGAATTTCACCACCCAAATCCTCTTCATCAACAGAATCTCAAAGTTCACCTGTAAAAACTAATGGAAATGCAACATCTGTACATAGAAGAAAGGGGAAAAATGATCTGCAGACTTTTGCTGAACCACAATCCCCAATAAGCACCTTTAGTGAAGAGGACAGTGATACAGAGGATACATTTTCTTCTGATGTGGATGCAGAAGCTGCTGGATTCAGAATTAAGAACAAGTTTTGGTTCTACTTGTTTACTCTTGGCACTGCTCTTGGGGATGAGTTATTTTATGCAACTTTTATTCCATTCTGGTTTTGGAATGTGGATGGTGCTGTTGGCCGGCGAATGGTTCTTGTTTGGTGCATCAACATGTATATTGGTGGGTGAAAACAACTTGAAATCTTATTTGTTTTTATTTGTATTTTGATCACTAACGTGTGGGTTAATGTCTCTTTTATTTGTTTTAGGACAAGGAGTGAAAGATTTAGTATGTTGGCCCCGCCCTGGTTATCCAGCGATTCGTCTTCAAAAGAAATGGGCACTTGAGTATGGGATGCCCTCAACTCATGCAATGGTGGCAGTATCAATACCCTTCTCAGTTCTTCTGTACACTATGGATCGGTACCAGGTACTATCTCACTCGAGACTCATGGAATCATGTTTGGTTTGCTAGTGGTAATGTAATGCAATACCCATCTCTTTCTTTACAGTATTCTGCTTCTTTGGGAATCATATTTGCCTTTTTGTGGTGTACCTTGATATGTGTCAGTCGGGTTTACCTTGGAATGCATTCAGTGCTGGTAAATCAAAATTTATCTGCCCCTCTCTGTTATAGTATTCTTACAATTTGATATATTCAAACTTGATTTAACCTTTGCAGGATATTGTTGCTGGTTTAGGTATATCTATTGCATTACTTATTATTCTAATTCCATTGGTAGATCATTTAGATTATACTTTACTGACATGGCGATGGTCACCTATCATACTTTTGGCTGTGTCAATATGTTTGGTTGTGTTCTACCCAAGACGGGGTGAACGGTGGACACCTACAAGGTATTTTTCATATTTTGTTGCTACAAAATAATTTTGAAAACCTATTCTAGAGTTCAGTTCTTATATTTTGTCCTCTCCATTCTTAGAGGAGATACTGCTATGGTATTGAGTGTGACAGCTGGAGTACACATTGGATCGTGGACTAATTTCCAATTGGGTATTATGAGAGAGCCATCAATTTCTCCACCATACACTATTCTTTGGCCATCGTTTGAGATGATAGGTAATATCATTAATCAACACTTAATTAGAATTGTTTCAAAAGAGATAGAGTAATACATATTTAATTTCTGTTGCAGGTTTGGGCGTTTTGAGGACTGTTATTGGATTATGTTGTATTTTGGCTGGCCGGGCTTGGTGTAAGTGGGCATCATATGCAACTGTCTGTGCACTTTTGAGATTGAATGCAAATGACATCAAAAAGCAATGTTATTCAGTCCACAACCATCAGAAGAATATTGTTGAACTAAGCTACAAATTTATAACATCTTTTTTAGTTGGTTTCAATACAACATATCTAATGCCCAGTGTATTCCGTCTTTTGGGAATATCAAGGCCAACATTCTATACAGAGATGTGATAAATATCTTCTACTCGTAACAGAATATACGCAGTATTCCCCAACTTCAAGTACTTTTCAGTGAGAGAAAATTATACAAAGTACTTAACAGTAATTGGTCTTGACTCTTGACAGATAAAAAAGTTACATTAGAACTAATTTCTCTCTGAAAACTCAGAAGAGCTTGGATGTTATTTTTATTTTGAAACTGCTGGTACAAATGGATCTCTGAGTACCTGCTCTTTCCCCTATTCTTGCCATTTTTCTTCTATAAAGATGATACAATGTTGCTGATACTGTTTTGCTGCTCTTTATTACCTTTATTTATGTCTATTTAAGCTGCTACGCGTGCATATAGGTTTAAAAGCTACATTCCCATTTTATATATTTGTTGAAGGGAAATACTTTTTCCTTAATTTACATATTGTTGATTTGCTTACCAGTACTTCACTAAACCAGTGAACATGATTTCCTATTGTGATTTGAAGAATCAAAACATTGCCATTAGTGTATTAAGGTAAAGCCCTGTTGTTAACTCTTGTTATCAGAGAGGAAAAGGATTTTTTAAAATTCATATTATGTGTCTTCTATCTATTAGAAAGTTAGGCAAATGTTAGTCTAGTCTTAGTTAATAATAAGCTCAATGGATTTATTATTTCAATGTTTTTACTTTGTACGTATAATAGAGTAATGTTGGCAAAAGCTTGCCAAACCTAACTACAGTATCTGTTGTTTTTAGCAAACTGATAATTGATGCTGACATACTTTGCAAGGAAGTTGCTTAATGGAATGGCATACATTTTAACACAATGTATTTTGATGTTTTGGAATTTGTCTGTGACTAGAATAATTAATTTTGTTAGTATTTTCTACTCAGATGTCTTCCTTTCAATCTGAAAGTCCATCTTACTGCGCCTAGATTTGAATGTTTTTTTAGAATCAATGTTTTAGCCATTTTCGATATTAGAAAATGTCCACAAATTGACCTAATTAAGACCACCAAATTGTCTTCAATATTAAGTTAAGGCACGTTCTGCACTACAACCAAATAAACCCAATTACTTTTGTTAGAACTATACCTCAAAATAATCTAAAAATGATTTTTGCTCACTTTTCTGCTGTTAATATTTGTTACAAGTCTTATGTAATTTTTTTTGTTAGATTGTCACTATTATTGTTATTTGCATTTTGATGTGTAGGTGTTGGAGTAAGCCAGAGGGTCGTGTGCTTTCAGATTTAATGTTTTTTTTGGGTTGTTTCATAATTGAAATATGTGTCTGTTGGGTAGTTTTTGTGTCATGTGCCTTGAATTCCCTCCTTTAATGTGTCGCCGTAAATGGAAAACGAATTGAACTGAATAAATATTGCGCACAGCTATTTGACTTGACTCGTCTAACGGCGGGGTCATTCGAAACGCACCGTCGATACCCCTCGCTCATTGGCAGATGTCTGACATACTCCATGCTGCCCTTTCGCCACATGGAGTCCAGTTTCTACCGTTGTTAGGTTTACCGCTAGAAGATGAATGAACAGCGGCTTAATATCTGCTGAAGATGTCACTGCTGAATCTAAACATTCGGATGAGCTTGCAGTACCGTCAGAACAATCCTAACTTTCTTTCTAAAGCCTCGGAAAGGCCGTTGGCAGCCCTGCAGGCGTCCGCCCGGCGAGGCGGGCTCTGATTGGTCGGCGAGCCGGCACATGGGTGAGGGGAGCGAGGAAGAGGGGGGACAGGGGGAGCTTGCCGGCGTTTTGTCAAGTGCAGTGCGCAAGGGAACGGTCTGGTCGCCCCGCCGCCCGCGCCCACCCCGCCAGTCCAGTAGTAGAGTCGTGTCGAAGCCGGGCCGTGTTAGTCAGAGAGAAGCCCTCGTGTGTTGTGGTGCGTGAGAGAAGTGCGGCCCGAGTTGCACCTCCGGTTCAACCTGCACCCAGAATCAACCGCCGGGCGTGTGTGGATTTGGATACCCGCCCTCCAGTGCAAGTGTGTTCACCCGGCTGTTCGTCGACGGACGCTGCAGCGGCGTAGCACCAACCGGGTTTCCTCGTGCGGACCCGCGTAGTGTCAGTGTGTGCCTCCAGTTTCCCCGTGTGCGACTTGCCCTTTCCCGCTCAGCGGGTGGATTCGGCGAGCTCGTCTCTCGCCCACAGGACATTTTCTAAGGATTACTTTGGTGAGTCGCATTGCTTACTTAAACGTTTTTGGGGTTAGGGTTCCTCCAGCTCCAGCCGGCCGGGCGGCGGGGCGGGCTGGCGGCGGGCCCGGCGTGCGTGCTGCCCTGCCGCGTTGTCGAGCGGCCAAGGACCTCGGCGGCCTCGTCCTCGCAGCCGCATCCTGCCCGGACATGCACAACGTTAAAAAATAATCTGCGATGTGGAAATTTTATAAATAATACTCCGAAAAAAATATACTCAAATTGTTGCCTGGGCCGGTATTTTATTTTTTTTAGTTCAAGTCCATCAACCCCAAAACTTCATATTATTCTCAACATTTTAACTTATTTCTTATTTCTTTGTGGTCCATATTATTTTGTACCGGAGTGTATGCGAGTGTGTACTCACTGTAGTTGGACACAAGTTTTTCAATTCTCCATATTCAAAATAAGCACTCGGTAATTGTGAAAGTGACACTTTTGGAGCATACCGGTAACAATTTGCTTCTCTGTAGTTCCTTCACTTTGGTGCCTTTCTCAGAGCACGGCGCGCTACGCCCCGCGCCCCGCCCCAGGCCATTGTCTTGGTTCTGCAGTTCGTTTACTCTCCCGCGCAGATAGTTACCCACCCACCCTCTGGGGGCCCCCGAATGCTCTCGTTCTCGACACGTCGCCGTGGAGTATAGATGTTATCTGGACGCTTACATTTGTTTCATCGCTGGGTAATTTTTTTGTGTTTCATTTGGTCCACGTAGGGTGCGTAGTAGTGCACACGGGTTGGGCGTGGTGGGTGTGGTTGGACTTCCGGGCGCGAGGGGTCCCACCCCTCCCCTCCGGGGCAGTCACCTACCCGCCCGGCCAGCCGGGCCCGGCTGCACCACCCACCCTTCTACCCCCACCCTACCCTCACCCTGCACACCCACCCACCCCTTCATGCCGCATACCGTTTCTTAAATACCATCCCCCTCCCTTTATCACGTGGTGATTGAAATTGTCAAACACCTTGTCTATCGTCCTCCCGAAGAGTTTCTAAAATTTTAATCATTTTTTTTTTACGTTCGATCATGTTCACATTTACCATACCATGCAGCAAGTTTCTTATCCACCTACTTGATTAGATTAACTATATTAAGCGAATCTTGAACTAATGGTATTACTTTTTGTTTTATTTTGACGTGAGGGGTTCCGTTCAATAGCTGCTGCATTCCCTTCCCCGACTGTCTTGGTGCACGTAACGAGTACACGCTCAATTTGCCGTTGCATGCACGCACGGCGCGACCGACTCTGACTCCCCTCCCCTCTCACCTTTTCTTTCCCTTTTCACTTTTGCCATTGCCCCTGCCTGCTCCCCGGTGATGAGGTCAGTCCTCCCTGTCGTCCCGTCCCCGCGACGGGGTTGGCGCCGTCACTCTTGTCCCCCCCCCCCTCCTCTATCCACCTCCTTCAGATTGGCCCAGGCCGACCCTTTCCTCCTACACCATTCCCCGGGGTACTCTGGGCTTCTCTGCTCGGACCCCCGGGTCCTCCTGACGTGTCAAAGTGATCCTGGAATGTCACACCTTTGCCGAGGCGCCAGGCGAGGCGCCGCCCTTACGCCCCGCCCCGCCCCCTTGTCGCTGCCCCTTGTCGCGGCCCCCGGACTGACTGACTGCGCGGAATGGTACTAAAATGTGGAGGAGCAGCACTTCTTGGATACGACTGAGTCACGGGCCGGCCGGGCCCAGGACTATGGTGTCACATCCTGTCGTTGGCTGGCAGGCCGGCCCGGCGCTATCGCCGGCGCGAGTGATAGTCGCGGCGCGGTGTGGAGTTCGCCCGCCGGGGAATGCTCGCCTGCCCGCGGGCGGGGGCGGGGGTAACTCGACGCGACCCGACGACGGGGTTGCGCGCGCGCGCGCTGTCGCCGGCGGTGTCGCGTTGCTCTGTCTGGCCGAGCCTCGGCCACGGGTTCAATCATAGCGGGCCTCGAGGGTCCCCACCACCACCACAACCACCACCACCGCCACTCCACTCCCTCCCTTCAGCCCTTAGACACACGTACTCTAGCATCCCTTCACCGCGCGAGTTCGCTGACCCGCCGGCCCGCCGTACGTCCGAGCCGGGTCTCAGACTGGCCGGCCATTCGGCGGGCGGGGGCTTTGAGTTGAGCCGGCCCAGCCCAGCCCGGCCGGGCTGCCGAAGGGTTGGATGTAAAAGTATCCCCCGGCCGTCCGCTGTGTGTAGTTAGGCTCGGCGTGTTTACCAGGCGTGTATCGCGCGCAGCCTGCTGAGTGTTTATGTTCTGCCCATGTTGGAGGGGGGGGGGGGGGGGCTAGCGGCGCCCCCGGGGTGGTCCTGCCGACCGTGATGGTGGTGGCTCACTCCGCCCTCGGGAGGGGCCGAGAAGGGCCTCGCTGTGTGTGTGTGTGTGTGTGGAGTTTGCAATCATTATTGGCGGTGCGTTGGCGCTTCCTTTTGAGTGGTGCTCGTTTGCACGCCATCACGGTATGCAGATGAGACGGGGGACACGCGGACGTGCCCTGCGTGGGGAGCGCTGGGGGGAGATGAAGGGAAATCGTGGAAATTCAACCCCCACCTCTCCTACCCTACCACCACAGCGCGCGGGCGCGGGGAGTGAGCTGGAAGGACCGGGTGGGGGTGTGGGTGGGGAAGGGGAGGCGAGGGGCAGCGGCGGCGCCGCCGCGGAGCTGGGCGCTGGGCGCGCGGCTGCCAGTTCGGCCGTGTTCCAATATGATGCCCTGCTCCTCTCATCCTGCCCAGTGCCCAGTCATGCTGCCCCCGCCCCTCCCCTCTCCCCAACTCTCCGCGGCCCTCCCCCGCCGCGTCCTCTCTCGCACTCTGGTGTTATCGCCCCCTCCTCTCTCCCTTTTCTCTCCCCTTCTCCTCCCCCCTGGCGCGGCCTGGACAGGACAGCTTTGTTCTCGCCGCAAATCCGGTCGTTGAGCCGTGGCGTGGCGGGCGCGGTGTGGGCCTGCGAATGCTCGCCGATGCGAGCGAGGGGGCCCCGCCCCGCCCCGCCCTCTGACCGGAGCATCACGATGGAAGAGTTGAGCGTACTTTTCGCACCCTTCCCCCTCCTCACGGCACCGCCTAGCGGGCAACTCTTCCCTCCCGTGATGGACACGACCATAACTTCATTTTGATAGCAATTCCCTTTGGCAGTGCACGCAGGGAAAAAATACTTGGCTGTATTTGTAGACCAATACCTAAAAAATAATTATATTTAGCTGCGTAGCTAAAAATTTGGCTGCGTAGCTAAAAGTTTAGATGCGTGGCTAAAATTAAATTTGTGTTGAATAGCAAACCATTACGCCTTGCTTGAAATTGTCCGTTACACAGCCATTTTTAAGTAATTAGTTACCTATTCAGTTATATTCAAGTAAAAGTTCTCCCGTATTTAATAACTGTTGGTTTAGCTAGTACAGCTAGCTAATACATTTTTCCGTATGTAGTCCTGGCCGGTGATGCGCCCCGCCATGCACGGCCCAGTAGGTGCAATAATAGACGGGGGGACACCCGATAGGCCCCCGGCCCGGTCATACAAAGGACGACGAGGCGGCTGACGCCGCGCGGTGCACTTGTCCAACGCCGCCGCGCCGCGGGCGGTCAGCGACAACGGCCGTCAGCAGCGCCATGAAGAGCAAGAGGCGTGGGGCTCCTGCTGCTGCTGCTGTTTGGGGGCTGTTTGGGCAATAAAGGGGCGATAACAGATAAACGTGATGTGTGGAGGGCGGCTAATTCTGATCGGCCCCATCGCGGCCATCACCAGCAGGCAGCAGCAGGAGGAGGAGGAGGGAGGGGTACTGCTGCTGCTCTACTCGAGCGCAACGGCGACTATCACCCGATACGACCTCGATTCGACGACGGCGGCTACGGCAGCGGCGTTGGCGTGGTGCAGTACGACTGGCATAGCAGAGGCGATCGTCGGGGTTGATGGCGTTCCACATCGAGTTGGGGAAGTAAGGAGGAGAGAGCGAGCACCGGCCGCCGGACGGTAAAGTGTTTCCCTGATGGTGGTAAATATGTATCTGACGCGACAGGCCGGCGGGCGGGGCACGCCCAGCACGCCCCGGGCACGCCCGGCGTGACGCCGCTCGTGTCGCGTCGCGCGCTCCCCGTTTTTGACGTGGCGTGACTCCTGGTGCCGCCCCGCCCTGCCCCCGCCACGGCTGCTTGCTTGTCTGTTTGATTCGAAACGCCCGCCTGCCCGCCGCCTTGTCCCGTGTC